ATGTTAAAAATTGGAGTTTTGAGTAGTTAAAACAGAATCAAAAATATTGTTTTGAAAATCATGTATAAATCTTATATGAAAATTCCTTTTAGTTAAAATGACACCACTAATCACTGGAGTTGTCTGTTTCACTCAAAGCAGACCAGCTGCACTTGCCTGAATTTATGTCTGTACTTACAGGTGCATCTCAATGAATATGAATATCATGGAAAAGTTTGTTTATTTCGCTCCCTCTTTTTTCTCTTTCTCTCACTCTTTCACACACTGTACACGAACATGAATGACAGAGACACAGAGAGGAGCAGTAAATGAATGACAGAGCCCCTAAAAACTGTAAAAAAATATATATAAATAAATAAAAATAAAAAAGGCTCCCCGGACTTGGTGGCACTGGGGTCAGGCTGTGTGCCTTCTCCTGGCCACTTAGATGCCACAGTAATGCATAAAAAACCACAGACCAGGCTTTCTGGAGGTCTTGATGATATAAACTGGTGAAAATACTGTTGGTGAAAATATGACCAAATTAAAAAAAAATTTTTTGCAACTCTTATAATAATCAATCATTGATGAAACGTTGTTAACATTTTGTATCATGATTATAGGGAACAAAACACGGGTATCAGTATTATGTTGTTAAAGTGGGCTGTAAATATTAAAAAATGTGTCATTGTTTTTTACCAAGTTTTATATTGACGTAATATACATTATTAATAAAAATGATGATTTTATTTTCATTTATCGAAGGTCAACCACTTTTTATGTCAAGTGCCATCTTTGACCCCAAATTTCAGAGTCGGGACAAAACATCAGAGTTTAAGTGAACGTAATTTGGAGACAGTAGCATTTGTTAGCCACCTGCCTGCCGCTCCCTCCGCCATGTTAACACAACAAATGCTGAGCTTGCTTTGTCTGCACCTTGGAGACATGCTAACTTAAGTTTCATGACCTTATTGGCCTGTCATGATTACAAATTTCGTTGGACGATATATTGTCCCTGAAAATATTATGAGAAATTATATTATTGTCATGTTATACCACTGATAAACAGCAATAATAATCATGCAAGTACACCCTTTCAAAGAGTAAATAAAGGTCCAGTGTGTAAGATTTAGGTGAAAGGGATCTATTGGCAGAAGTAAGTATAAAATAGTCCTAGTGATATTTTCAGACGTTCCCCACCATTGCTAGGGATAGACCCAACAGTTCCCACAAGTTATAAGTTGGTGACTGGAGAAAAAAAAAATCCTTTTTAACTGCCTAAACATCTTCCTGTCTTTTGTAGGTCATGTGGTAGCAGAGGAGGAGGCCCGTAAAGCTCACCAGCTCTGGCTCTCTGTGGAGGCACTCAGCTACACTCTGAAGACTGCTGATGCTGAATTGCCAACTGTTCCTCTTGACGGTGCCGCGCAGGTCGTGCGAAACAGCTGCCACGACAATGAGTTTGCCTTGGCATTGGCAACGGCTCTTCCAGAAGAATCCCTTCAGCGAGGCGTGTACAGCGAGTCTGCCCTCCGCGCACGCTTCAACTCTTTGCGATCACTGGCCCGCCAGGTCGCCCTCATCGACGAATCTCATAACTCCTTGTACCACTATTTCTTGTCCTACCTTCAAGCTGCTCTCTTGTTTGAGGCTAAACAGGAAGCCCCGCCCGCCCAGCTGAGTAGTGAGAATTTAGATTCTTTCAAGCTTCTGTCATATGCAAGTTACTGCTTAGAGCATGGGGATCTTGAGTTAGCAGCTAAACTGGTAAACCAGTTGAAAGGCGAGGCTAGGAGAGTGGTGGAGGATTGGCTGACTGAAGCCAGACTCACACTAGAAACCAGGCAGGTAATCAGTTTGCTCTCTGCCTATGCAAATGCTGTGGGGTTAGGAACCACCCAGGCTCCATAGGCTGCCACTCTCACTGACCCTTTCAATCTTTAAAGGCACAATCCACTGAAACTCTGTCTTTAGAGGATCATGTAGTTGCTGTAGATTTGAGAGATTTTCAGTGGTGTATTCCTTTAATCGACCGATGTTAAGATGCAGCATAGATTTATTTGAAAGCACTAAGTCACTATGGATGATTTATTGTATAATTTAATTGCTACACCCTCTTATTCAAATAGTCTTGCCAGTTCAGGCCTAAAGGTATATATTTCCGGATAATTGTTGTGTCATTAAACCTAACTGATTAAAGAATGTGTCTAACTGCATTTAATTGTTCTCACCCCTGCAAATGTTACAATAAATCTCTATTAAAAGTTGTTTCATTTCTTCATTCTTCATTGTCTGCAGTCAATAAATCCCAGGGAATACATTAACATAGAAACAATAATGTCACATCTGTAAGGACTGGTACCACCACAGAATAAATTATGAAAGTTTTGCTCACTGCATCTCATTTTGAAGAGTAATTTAAACCTATGTGTAAATCCTGTCTTTGCTGAACGGTGGTTTGACATGTAGCCTGGCTGCTGTGAAGTACAGATATACCCCAGGACATAGCGACATCTCTGGCTGTGTTCAGCAGTGAAATGAGTAATGGAATAATGTATGAAGGTATCTTTTGGTGCGAAGAAGCTTAACACCTGTGATGGTGAAATATGTACTTGAAGAAAATAATTTGTAATTGTAGAAAATAGTCATATCTGTATCAGTAAAGCAAAGGTCACCGGCAAAGGGCTGAAGCTATATTTAAAAGTATAAATATATATATATTAAAAATGTATCCATAAGATTATGAGATATACAATTAAAATCAGGAAGTTCATGTTACATGCAGCTTTAATTATAATGTTATATTTTCCTAAACTTGTAACCAAAACAGGTAAAACAATATATAATAAAAAATCTTCTAATATCAAGAAAGAATATTTTCAGCAAAATTTCTTAAAAGTAAAAGTATTGGTTCTGTATATGACATCATTGGACTGATAACACTATGAAACAATGTGTACACTCCACTTAATTATGAAAATAATCACACTGCTTATTTTAGTAGTAGTATTTTTCATATTTGTTATCAATTCTTTGTTGGCAATATTCAAACTTGCAAAGAAGATTGAGTGGTTTAAAAAGACCTTGACCCTGCATTCACAACAATGCACATAGTACAGTGCACATATGATACTATACTATTCTATACTATACTGAAACCCAGACTGTTGTTCCAGCCAAAAATAATTCCTATTAAAATCAAGTGATTTTTTCAAGAAGCAAAAATTCCAAACCTTCTCTGGTTCGAGCTCCTCAAACATAAGGACAAGACATTTAAAGACTTTCAATATTTATTGTGAAAAACAGTTGATTGATAATGAAAAGAATTGTGAGTGACCTACAGTGAAAACCATCTCATGTTTGATGAGAAAAATCTCAGGCAACAATACAATAGGATTTTTCCTCCAATCATAAATGGCTCTGGTCACTGTTGATTGTGAATAGCCCACAGATTAAAAGATGATAACCATTACCTACTGGACATTTTTTTATGTGCCCTCAAATATTAATCTGAACCATCAGGCTTTATATATCCGGTTTATTTTAAAAGAAATCAAGTGATCACAACTGACAGACAGACTTGTGTTACCTCAATGGCTGAAGAGATTTCAGGCTTTCCAGACATACCTTTCATCTTATTACACTCCTATGGTAAAGGTACAGCTCTTTAATAAACACTGTGAACTCACTGTCTTTATTAGAAACTGACAGTTATTGAATCATCTGGCTAGTTCTTTAGCTCTCTGACTCACCAACTAGAACTGCAAATAGTCACTGCTTAAGTGCTCCATCAGTGTCTGCAAAAGATGCGTTCAGCAATAGCACTTTTGTGGGGTCACCATTGTTTAATAATTTGTCAAAGCCCAGTAAGCATTCATTGTAAATACGCACACAAAACAGAAGAAAATGGACTTCAAGTTTTAAATTCTCCTCTGGTTGTAGTTACAAATTAACCACAAGAAAAATGAACGGACATGTGAGATGGACAACTGAAAACTGGGGTTAAAACAAACAGTCTGCATTATCTTTACTCTGAATTAGGTCTCTAACATTGCATCAACTACCTAGATGACCTTTGGATTCTTCATATGCAGATTTTGGGTTTAAAATCGTATGTATTAAAGAGTGGATGGAAAAACTATTCTCACACCATGTGTGAGGCATGTGATAATACAATCACATACACTCTACAGCAACAATTTGGAACCAAATGTATGATCAGGAATAAGACCTGATTTAGATCTTAATTGTTTGTTTGGTGGATGGAGCAATAGCCCCAAACACCATGTGCAAGAATCATCAGAAAATGGCAGATGTGAAGTGAGACACACATTTAATGTATTACCTGGTGCTACACATGAATATAGTAAAGAGACCAGTTTTTCAGATAGTAATGTTCATACTGATGATTTTGTATATGTCCATCCGAGTGAACTTCTCTGGTTGGTAATAGTTCATGCAAACATTACCTACAGCACTGTATTTGATTTGTGCAGCGTTGTATCTGTGTCTGTTGGGTCGAGTTTATCTGGATTGAATATTGATCTTTCTATTCATATCCTGGGAAGGAAGTGTGTCGTAGTCATGTTGGTGGTGACACGGTTGCCTCTCTTGGTTTTGCCAGTCTTGCTGAGGCCTATGTACATGCCAGGGTGAGCAGCAGATTCATAGGCATTATAATTGTTGGCCAGGAGCTTCTCCTTAAACTTGCATTCATCATTGTAGTGGCCCTGAGGAGGATAAAGAGAGAAGCACACCAGGAAACAGTTATTTATCACTGCTGTCATAACTCAAATGAGTTTCCTGTTTTTCTTTAATTTACTTTGTGAATATTTGTAAGATGCCACTTCCATTTTCACATTTTATCTTAGTTGGATGTAAACACTGTTTCTTTAAGGCATTTGGAGAAAAGTCATTAGTGATCAGGTGAAATTTTACTGCTCCTTGGGGTTGATTATTTAATGTGTTTCCTTATCTCTTGTTAACCACACATTCAATTTATTTTGATTGAAATAAAAAAAAAAAGCCAACAACCCCAACGCAAATCTCACAGTGTAGGTATGTTATGTTGCAATGCTCTGAGTTGGGACATGGTTCCATAACTATACGTGAATTTACTGACAGTCACTTGACATATGTAGAAACGAATGATGCAAATAAAGGGATTTGTAAGAGAAATAAGTACTTTGCTTCAAAAAAGAGTATGGCATTGGATTGGCAGAGTATGTGGTTATTTTGGCTCTATATAATGACCTCTTCTATAATAAATACTTATAAATACACTCCATCCACACAGTCAGTGGTAACTTCATGAGGTTCTATAAAAACAAATGCGATTTAATATGACAAGAGGTAATAATTCAGTTATCATTTCATCTATGCTTATTATTGAGGTTGAGATTGATGTTGAACTGTACTACAATATACTGTAATGTGTACTTTTCCCCCAGCCCATTCACATACATGTTTCAATATAATTAAGACCAGTACCATTGACCACCACTCACTACAACCTTAGTAATAGACAGTCAGCAGAATTAACTCCTGAAAGATTTGACAAAAATATAGTGGTGTAAAGATTTTAGAATTAGAGGTCAAATCTATCTACCTGGACTCTGGACTAATGTAAAAAACATGGCGGCCTCCGTAGAAAGGGTCCCCTCCATGTAAATATAAAGTATTTAAATATAAAGGGCCTTTTCTGGGGTAAAAAAAACTACAATTCATACAATTTACATGAAATGAACTAGTGAAAACATCATGAGGATTATTCTACATCAAATGTCTGTCAATAGTTCCCTTTCACCTAAATCTTACACACTGGACCTTTAAGACAAAGTTTCTTCTAAAAACCCACATAGTTTTTATGAAGACTCTGACACTCACCAATGTTTTCTTATGTGAGATTTGTTCTTATGTATGAACAGAATCTACGCACACTGAAGAGCACTCATATGCAAATTTGACAAGTTTCAGTGCATACCATAATTGTTTTAAATGCATTGAAATGCTGAACAGGGGAGCACACAAAGAATATTTGGTCAATACAGCAAAAGATAACACTAACATTTTTTACCCATCTTTAGGTTGTGTTAATATATTAAATATGTCACACGGTCCATAGTTTTACTGCTACAACTTTTCATTAAAGGTTTCTGTCCAAGTATAGCCTATTAATTCTGAAAACCAGGTTTATTTCTGTTCTGAGACGAGAGATGGCTCAGGAGATGCAACCGCACTACACAGTGAGCATCGCACCCAGGTCTGTGGGTGCAGTACTTTCTGGGCCTGAACCCCAATATTTCATCTAAATTGTATGAATTGTAGTTTTCTTTACCCCAGAAAAGTCCCTTTATATTTAAATATGTTATATGTACATCGAGGGGACCCTCTCTACGGAGGCTGCCATGTTTTTTACATTAGTCCAGACTGGACAAACTAAACACCTTTTGAGTTTTTATGACAATTAAAGGCTACCACAGTTTCTTTTTCATGTTTGGAAGGAGAGGGTGAGGTAAAGGGTGTTCAGCTGCAACATGTAACCTCAACACTAGATGTCACTAAATTCTACACACTGTACCTTTAACAGGCAGACTGAGCTGAACAGGTCTTCTTTGAATAACCTCCAGCAGTGTTTGGCAAGTGGAAGCCCATATGCCAAAACAAGCCCACCAGCAATATTATCTGGCCCACCAAATAATTTTGATAATCTGATAATTTATTCAGATATCGAGGGATACTTAGGGTGCTAATCTAAGTCATGGAATAACCTTCATATGATCTCTTCCTCTTGAGCTACAAAGTAAAAGCACAATGTTCATTTTGTTTGCCGCAATGCTTTAACAATAAAGTGTTTCATGACATAGAACATAAAAAGGAATGATGGTGAAAACAGAAACTGACTTTACTGTAGTTACAAATTGAGAAAATATTTTTTTCACATGTGGTTGTAAATAGGCATAATAAATGAGTAAATGATAGAAGAAGAAAAACAAACAGGTATAGTGAGCTGATTAAATAAGGGGCTTTGGGCTCTTACTGCTGTTTATGTGAACTTGAGAAATATACACATCATCAAGACAATGATACCATGTAATGCTTTCCTCTGAGGAACCATTTGAGAGCTACATGTGATTATTCAAAGCATGGCTTGGCATAGATGTCATTGCTGCATTGAAATATAACATCAGTGAAAGGTGCTGTTGGACCCTTACCACAGAAGTTGTGACAATATACTTACTTGACTATGGCTACATTCCCCCACTTCAATTGAGCCCCCTACATCTGTTCATACACTGTAGTTTGATGAGTAACTGGATGAGTAACTGCTAAATTACGAACTGGTGTTTAACTTATGACTGAGATGGTCTGAATTTCTGGAACAAGGAGCAAGACTTTGAATCATCATGGTGTTTTGTGGGATGTATAAGACTTCAAATAGGAAATGGTGCTTAAGTGAAACCAGGGTGAGGCTCTGCATTAACTATATTATTTCTACAATGCAAACATATGCAATGGATCTGTTGTCACAGTACACTGTGATGATCTTTTTAGACCATTTGTTTCCCACCATTATTTCCTCAAAACCCTTAAATCTCATTGATCTTGGCCTGGAGACTTCCATCTACAGCTGGATACCTGACTTCCGGATCATGCGCCAGGTTGTGAGAAGTGGCAGCCAAACCTCCTCACAGCTGATCCTCAAAATGGGCGCACCTCTGAGCAGTGTGCTTAGCCCCTTCCTGTATTCCCTGTTCACCCACGACTGTACTCCCAAGCACAGCCCCAACATCATCATTAAGTTTGCTGATGACATGACCTTCTTGGGCCTGATCAAGGACAACGACAAGACAGCCTACAGAGAGGAGGTGACATCACTGACCAGCTGGTTCAAGGAAAACAACCTCTCTCTCAATGTCAGCAAAACGAAGAAGATGATTGTGGACTACAGACGAAAGGTGGGTGGGCAACCCCCATCCGCATTGATGATGTTGAGATTGAGAGAGTCAGCAGCTTCAGGTTACTTGGTAACACTCTTGTTTACCATCTGGCAAACAGGAGCAAGGCTGTATACACCACCATACTTAACAACAGTTAATTTAGTTAAATTTTTCACCAGACCATCACATTTCTAAACTCATAGGTCGATTACCCCTGCATGTCTGTTTACAGACTTATTCAGGGAAATTTGCATTAACTTATACTTTCA